TTTCAATACACAAGCACTGATCGAAGATTCATCTGTCATTTTGCATTGGTATAGTTGTTTGGAAGTCTCATATCCTTCCATACATGATTATTATCATACAACTCTTTAATATGAAAATTCGTGCGTTAGCATCTATACTCTTAAGTTGTTTTTGTAACTCAGGTGACATAGTTGCAAGCATCACATATGTGCAGTACTATCGTCATCACTGTGTTTATTACAGTAGCCACCTCTTCCTTAATCGAGTCACCAGCATGTGTCTTCAGAAGGGGCTACTCAAGAACGTAACCAATTTTCTCATGCCCTGAGAACAATTCTCAAATTGCATGCTAATCAAGAAGATTCAATTTGGTTGTTGGCATCCAGTATACCACTCAAATACATATGGTTACTCACGATTCAATAAGTATAAATGACGAAAAGAGAAAGAATAATATACAAAATGCATCAATTAATTTAACATGGACTTTTATTAAATTAATTATGCTCCCACTGCTTAACTCAAATTTTTGACCCTCTCACATAAATTTATGGAGTCCATACTTGACTCCCAATGGGTTGGGATCCCATCTGTTATATCAAAACCTTGAGTGTACTCAACAAACCTTAATAAAATATTTGGGTAGATACTATTATCAATTGCATCTCCATACAACTCCCAGATCATTGAGTTGACAACTCTTTGTCATTACACATCTTTTGTGTTAGCTTAACATGCTTCTAAAATTTATCTCATTGAGTGTACTCAACAAAAGATAAACTTTAGTTAAGTCGAACCCATCATTCAGAAATATCCAATATTTCATAGTGTCAAACATATCCCTAATATAACAGCCTTGAGTGTACTCAACAAGTTGAGACGATTTGGGACTCTGATTTTTCACTATAATGATGGAAGGCGAAAGTAAAATATGACTTAATATTTTATTGAGGGGTTTTTTGCATTCAAAGGCTTCATCAACAACGATACAATCATATATATTTTATTATACATTTACCATGCAAATAAACATATATATAATATAATAATAATAGTATGGACGATTATGGACGTTTACTATCTAGTCTTCCCGAGCCATAAGGAAAACTAGTTGGTCAATTCCTAGGGGTTATGGCATTGATCAGTATCAATGCACCATCTTCATGGTTTCCTCCTCTTCTTGTTTCTTCAATTAGCCCAGCTACAACTTATATCTTATACTAGTTGGCATGCAGGTCTAAATGAAATTGGACTCGCAGGCCCATAGTAACACTAACAATAACAGACTCGCAGGTTCAAAATAATAACAATAAATGCTCGCAGGCCCAAAAACAATTAAGAGCTCGTATGCTCATAAAACGATAAGAATAAAATTAACTACTCAGCACATCCACATGGTCGAGCCCATAATCGTCCACTAATAATACATTCATCACATAAATGTATGGTTATATAATATCTAATATTATATACAAACAAGTTTCAAGTTTCTAACAATTAACGTCGTCTAAACTCTTTTAGACAAGTGGATCGGAGCAATTAAATAATTCATTAATCATATTAATCAATTAATTTAATTAGCGGGCATATTTAATTAAAATCAAATTTTAATTAAATATCGAATTAGAGTCCCACTCTATTTCCACAATTATAGGGAAGGGCTATTTAATTAAAATCAAAATTTAATTAAATATCAAATTAGAGTTCAACTCTAATTTCAAAATTATAGGGCAAGACTATTTAATTAAAATCAAATTTTAATTAAATATCAAATTAGAGTCCAATTCTAATTTCAAAACTCAAGGTGGTTGAATTTAATTAAAATCAAATTTTAATTAAATAACAAAATTAGAGTCCAACTCTAATTCTAAGATTATAGGGCGAACTAATTTAATTAAAATCAAATTTTAATTAAACAATATATTAGAGTCCAACTCTAACTATAAGAAAAACTCTAGGGCAGGACAATTTTAATTAAAATCAAATTTTAATTAAATGTGAAATTAGAATCCAATTCTAATTACAAGAACATATTCGGGTGAATAATTAATTAAAATCAAATTTTAATTAAATATTAAAATAAAGTCCAACTTTAATTTAAATTGAATTAATATTTTAATTTAGGATATAACTCCCAAATAAAATAAAATTCACTTTGGGTCAAATTTTAATATTTTAGTTAAAATCAAATTTTAACAAAAATATTAAAAGTCGTAAATTTTAAATAAAATTTTAATTTGGGTCAAAATAAAATTTATAGGTCAACCCCATTAAAATCAAATTTAAAAGCATTCCAAAATATAAATTCAAAACAATTTTGGAATTGTATTTTGACCCAAACTTGAATTTATAATCAGGACCTCCCAAATAAAGAAATTGTAGAGAAGCCCTTTCATTTAATAATTGCAATCAGACCCCGAAATGGAATTGCAGGAAAGGGGTCCTCAATATCAAATATTGCAAGGACTACCCTTACTTAAATAATTTACAAACTGACCCCAAAAGGGATATTGCAAACGGAGGCCTGCAATTTCACAAATTGCGTCAGAGGCCCCACCTCCAATTCACCCAAAACGCGATTGAAACCCTAATTTTTTTTATTTGCCCTTTTATCTTTTCAATTTCAGAGGACGGCGCCTTAATTCTTGTGGTTGCGTGTCGCCGCTGCACCAGCAGCAACGCGCACGCTGCTGCACTCCCAACAGCAGCGCTGTAGCATGCTGGCTGCGGCCAGCACGCGATGCCGCCTCCAGTAGCGGCATCTTTGCTGCTGTCTGTACCGCTGTCAGATCGAACCCTTCTCTTTTTTATTTTTCTTTTTTATAAATTTAAGAAAATCAAATTTTCTTCAATTGCTAGAAACATGAAGAAGGAATAACAATCAACTTTTGATTGCACAAAAATATTAAACAATTTCTAACAAACACAAAGTAGGCTCTGATACTACTATAGGAAATCTACTTAACATGCGCAGCGAAAAATTAAAACAGTTTTCGATTCCCACCAGGATTCATCTTTGTGTTTAGATAGAAATTGTGATAAAGATATACATTTTACAAGATCTGCAAACTCCTTTGCTATATCTTTGTTCCAGCAACTTGAATCTATCTCTCACAGTTGCCCAATTATTCAGCCTCCAACGATAATCCACACAGAGAGCAAGATTGCAATATTAGGGTTTTTCTTGTGCTAGCAAGAATAATGAAAAATCTCTACAGTTTTTGAAAATCCTAATCATATTTATATAAGTCCGAACGGTTTTGGCCTGACCCGGTCCAATATTTAACTAACCCATTTAATTAAATCTAGTCCATGAACTAATTAATCCAATTAATTAATTCGGACCTATAAATATGCAACCCAATTAATTAATTTATCCAACTCTTGTTAAATTAATTAATTGAGAAATTACAATCTTCTAATTTTCCTTTTGTGTGTGACCCATCAGGTTTCCTATCACGATGTCTAACGACGTGAAATATTATTTTAATCTAATCAAAATTGATAAATTAAAACACCCTTTTAATTTATCAACAATTTACATTCGCCGTCTCAGATTGACATCTAGTAATGTGTCAAGGCAATACATATGACAGGAAATATCACGTGGCATGACAAAACTGAACTCGTTCATTTACCGTGAAACTATAATCCCTTCGTCAATATGATCCGATCAATTACAAGATATGGAAGTGTGTCAATCACGATTATCGATCATATCTTTCACTCTACTATTAAGTCAATATTAGTCGAAAACTTTTTTTCGACTTATGAGTACACATTGACCAAGGATTTCGTCATCGACTTAATTGAATGAAACGCAGATCATAATATCCTATTATCTAAGAGCGACGAATCTTTTACTGGTCAATCACAACCTTCAGACGATTCTTGACGTACCCGAACGATGTCGTATTAGCGGACCTTGGCAGAGCGACATCCAACACCGCCAAAGTATGACTATTCTCATATAAGGTACCATGACGACTTGAGTCAAATGACCAATTCTACTATCGAACGTCAGAGATTAACCACTGACACTCGGATAGTTATTCATGTGGAATCTCTCGGTGGGTCTCCAATATTTTGTTTTATAACAAAATATCCACGTGTTCATTTAAATGTCACCACACTTTAACTTCTGAGATCAGCTACTTACTTCACAAAGCAAAAAATGTCACACGTGATGATCTATCCATAATAATGAGATATCCGCATCTCGTTATTACTTACGATCACGGACGATTTAAGATTCAATCATATATAATTTGTATCTCACAATCACGACTTCTTGTGATTAACAAATTATGAAGATTTGAATTTACGGACTCTATTATTTAATTTAATTGTCTATTAATTAACTAATAGATCCACTATTAAATTACATTAATTATCTATTAAAAGTATTTATGTCCAAAGTTAATTGGACCTAGAGCATAACACTTACATAGAGAAGGAAGAGAGAGATGATATGTAAAGGGGCGGGGGAGAGAGTTGGGATTAAATATGGATAGCGATGGGTTAGTTGGTGGTGTGTAATTTAATTTTATAATATATTATTATTAGTAGTAGTTGGATTATTATTAAAATATAGAATTACCACCTTCAACCTGTTTTTTAAATTGTAATCTTTAGAAAACCGTATCTATGTAATTTCCACTTATTTTTGCTGTAGCAATTCGTCCATATACTCCATATGGATAAAGTTGTTTGAACGGGACCACTTCTACCCTCTTCATCCATGGGGCCCTCCGGCCCTCGTAGCAGGGTCCTACTCTAGCTAGATTGACAAATTTTGCATACTGCACAACGTCAAACGAATTTGGCACTTTTGGATCTTCTAGTTTACTGTTTTTGATGTTACACTTCTTTTAATGTACGTGTTCGATATTGACGGCATATTCGGTAAAGAGATTAGATTAGAGTCTTGCAACTATCGAGTAATGAAACTTTTCATAGACAAGATGAACGTACCCAGAAAATTTCACCAAGAAAAGAATGAGAAGAAAGAAACACGTAATGAGCTTTTTAGTCATAAATCATTCTTTATGCTGCTTTGATTTGATTTTCACAAGGTACAATACCCATTGAACAAAAACAGAACTACTAGAAATATTAGAACACCAACAACCACTGCCATTCACAGCTTTCTATATGAAAAAAACTTGTGTACTTCAATCCTCTGGTTTTCCCACTCCTCAATCCTAGATGAGCCACCTTGGTTGCATTTTTTGCACATATCGTAGAGTAACATGATCAAATTGAGGTATTTTTTTTTTGCAGCTCTGAAATATTCAGCTGCATGACATGTTGATTCTCTTTTGCAAGAACAGGCAGATAACTGTACAGTCATCTATTTTCGAGTTTGGAAACTTGCGTTTCCAAGCAGCAGTCGAGGCATCCACCACTGCTTTTGCTGCAGCCTCTTCGTCATTGGCTGAGGCCACTATGGATATGACTTGATCATTGTTAAGCACATCCCACACCTTTAAATCAAACATAGGAAGCAAAACTTAGTTACCAAAATCCCACGTCAAATAAAGATGAACATGGATAAACTTATGACGGTTTAAGTTAGTTCTCTTAATAAGATCAACTTTTTAAGATGGAATCTCAAGTCTTAATATAAACAACATTAGTACTATGAAGCTTTTGATGAGTGTAGTTGCCTTACCCCATCAGTAGCCAGAACAAGAAACTGATCATTTGGAGATATATGGTGATAGGAGATATCGGGGATGGAGATTATGCCGTGGTACTTGAGTAAAAAGTCACCAAAAGCTCGAGACATGGCCAGGCCAGGAGAGTCCTCATTGGGTAGCCAAACTCTTTGAATGTGTGGTTCTTCTTTTAGTGCTAGCACCCTTCCCTTGCACTTCCTAATTCTCTCAGCCTCCTCTGCATTACAATTCATCCGATGAACATCTTGTTGTGTGATATAACGGTTCTTAAACAATGAATTTTTTGCTGAAGTTAGAGATTTGTCTGTACTGGCCTATGTTCCTTGAATTATTTGGCTCAAGCATGTGTGAGTGACATTCGGACACACATTCTAAATAGACATGGTGCATCCAACGTTGGATTTTGTTAAGGGTCTTACCAGGCACGTCAGGTTTGAAATCAGTAGTTAATTGAACTGCCTTGATTCCTTCAGGAGAATTTGTTCCCAAAACTGCTCTGGAATCACCGAGATTTGCAATAACAAGATCTTCCCCCTGTCCAAAGATTTGACAAATCAACGGTTAACACTGTTTGATTCCCCCAAATTTGCCTCGGGGCACTAGAGGGCTCAGGCACTCGAGAGAGAGAAAGACTCATTCCCCAGATGAGCTTAACGAGATTCGTTTCCTAGGTGCCTAACTAAGAGAAAGACTTCCCCTCTGGATAAGCTACCCCGGGAATAAGGAAACACAAATCTTGACATGGCCTTTTTTAGCGTACCTGTTTCATGACGACAACAGCAGTAGTTCCACTGCAAGAGAAGTCAAATTTGTCGAGAAGCTTAAGTTCCTTGTCCATCACTTTATAAGCACTCAAACCAGCCTCTTTCCATTTCATGAAATTCTTGCTTGGTGTTGATTCACCATTCACCTTTTCACCTTGTTTAGAAGAAGATGTGTTTAATGCTGACGCACTGATCTTTGCTATGGCATTTCTCTGGTTAAGAAGCAATGATGGCAATCGGTTTCTCACTAACTTACTCACAATATGACCATTTTTGCCATGTCCATCAAAAACTCCACAAAAAGCTCCATTTTCAATTCCATATCCCTGCCAAAATTAAAAAGTTTCATATTCAGAAGCCTAATTTTAAGGCACCCTATTTTGCCTGAAATTGACCTCATTGAACTATCTTATTCACCTATAAAATCTAATAACTTCTTTGGTAAGATGTATTGTGACAATTGCATAAGAAACATGTCCTAACATCATACGTTACTTCAAGCCAAAATAGGTCTCGTTTTTGTAATATTATCCTGTATTTGAAATAAATCGAATTTTTGCATAGTTTTGCGAAGGGTTTGTGGAATAAGATTAGTATTTCGAAAGGAGAAAAAAAAAAGGACTAGATTGAACATTGAAAAGTAAGAGTGCGTTTGGTTTATCATTTCGAAGCCATTTTCAATTTTCTAAAGCATTCAAAATGTATTTGATATGTTATTTTCAAAAATGCGTTTTCAATGACAAGACAAATTTTACAACGTAAAACTCGAAATGACTTTTTGAGAAAAAACCCAAAACAAGGAAAATGAACTTAAAAATTTCTCAAATTAAAATAATTGATAAAATCACAACTATCCAAATACAAATATCTCTCTCTCTCTCTCTCTCAATTTATTATCTAGAGATAGTAATGGAGACAGTTATTCTATCTATTTTGATATTGAAAATCAGATTTTTGAAATTGACAATGATCATTCTTTTCAATGTGATTGTTAGATATATACTTACAATGATTCATTCTTTTTTTTTTTTTTTACCAACTTAAATTTTTTTTTCACACATTAGCATAAAATTGATATGTTTTACTAAATAATCAAATTAATTGAAAAAAAAGTGTTGTAAAATTATTTCTAAAATTTTTAAACCAAAAGCGTTTTTAAATTTTTTTTTTATTTTTAAACCAAAAGTGTTTTTTAATTTTTTTTTTTTTTTTTTTTGAGAAATAATTTTCAGAATGGCAAGCAAAACGCGTTTTCTGGAATCTTAATATAATCCCTCAAAATAGATAATAAAAAATGAATTAAAAATTAAAAACAGAAAATAAAAATGCAAACCAATTGCAACCTAAACTTTCTTCTTGTCCCCAAGAAAAGCTATCAATGATGCCACTCATGATTTCCGAGCTCAATAAACAAAATTTTAACTTCACTTTTTTCCCATTAAGCCCATATAGTGCAGTTCAGTCAAGTCTATCAAACATGTATCGAAGAATTTATCAACGTACCTGAATGAGAATTGCAGAATCTTGGTTCAACCCTTTGCTTCCTGGATGAGAATAAGTAGAACCAATTACTTGTACTCCATTAGTATTACCGATTTCTGTGTAGCATACAGCATTTTCTTGGCCATATGCTTCATCATGTATTTCAGATGCAACAGATGCACAGATTCCCATAGCAGCCTTTGGAAATTTTCTTCTGGTGCATATGCTGTTAGAATCCAAAAATAAAAGTAGTCTCCTTAAATAAGGGTTGTGGACCATAGGAATATGATTGACTAAATATATAATTCTTTTAAAAAAAATGAAAAAGAAAAAGTAGTTGCTCCTAACAAATTGAAAACTATAATTTGGTTCAATAATTCATTGTTTTTAATGTTAGTTATTAATTATAATTAATTGAAAACTACCCCAAGATTCATTTCAAAGGGCATCTTAGGTGTACTTTTGTAACACCTAAGAGATAGCATAGTAATTAATTATAATTATAAGTTGTGTCTTGTGTAAGCAATGAAATTTAAAAGCCATTTAACTGTTTCTTGGTTTCAGAATTTTCTACTTGTCATTTTTAGTGTTATTCTTTTTTCCTTTGAGTTGATCATCTTCCATCACGCCTAAGAACAAACAAACAACTAATTCCTAGGAAAAATTCAATATATCTAAAGGAATTCTCAGACAACAATCATCTTGAGATGTAGTAACGTGCTTTATGAAACTGCTTTATTCCATTAATTTCTCATAATTGTTGCAACGACCTTCGAGTTGTTTTTTTTCTGAATTTTTTTAGTAGGTTGCGCCTCCAAAAATCAAGGTAGGCGACACCACGTTTGCATCTTCGATGCACTTTTGTTAGGTTAGATGCTTGAGTTAATCGTGAACAGTCTTTATATTTTGCAATTATTTAGTCTTGATGGTGAGTTGGACTCAGAGCCGGACCTGAGATAGGCTCAACAGGCTGCTGCCTCAGGCCCAGCTCTTCAAGGGGGCCCAAAAAAAAATTTTTTTTTCCATTTTTTTTTTTTTGGTAAAACCCACTAATTAACGTAAAAGAATCCTCCCATAATTGAGATGTTTTGTAAATGTCTTTTATGTTAAGTTTTAAGTTAGCAATTGGTTGTCTAGTACATCGTTGGATTTTGATTTATGTTGATTTTGGGGGCCCAATTTATGAAGTTCGCCTCGGGCCCCCACGATCACAGGACCGACCCTGGTTGGACTCAATAAATTCTAATTTCATGACCAAACCCGAGAACACTAGTTGTAATTTTCATACTGCTCAATATATAACACGTAATAGTGCTACATGACATGGATATAATAATTTTAAATTTCATTAGTTTGTTTTTTCATATTCCATGCTTGTTAATAATAGAAACTTCAAAGATTAAAGCAATATTGTTTAAATTTCCTGTGATCTCGAGGCCATTACTGCCACTCTGTGATGCCACTTTACAGAAATTTGGATTCAAAACATAGCAATGCCAACTGGGTTTTAGCCCTTTAGTAGTTTGGAGCATTTCGAAAAAGCTTAATGGTCAGTCAACTGCTCAACTTTTGTAAACAAAATTGTTGGTAGTTGCAAATTTAATCTCAATTTTTAAAAATTCATTTTTTCTCGAATTTATTTTCAATCATACATTTATGAGATCTATAACTTTTATAAACTTTTCAATCACATATTTTATCAACTATTATCAAAATTTAGGGTCGTCACTCAACAGATAAAAGTTACTATAGGATAACAAGCTGATCTTCCCCAAGAGCTCACATGAACGGGATGGTTTGGCACCTCGATGTCGGCTCTTTGCCACCTTGATTATTTTCATCTTTTCAACAAGTTTAATAATGAGCATAACAGCCCTACTGTTCCGATAAAGAGAAGAACCTATGATTTAATTTTCAACTGCACCAAACATGGACTAAATCATATTAATTTTTCATAAAAATAAAAAAAAATCATCACTCTAACGACGAAGATAGCACGCCAGCCAGTTATCTTGACCTTGGGAGGCCAACAGTCCAGTGAACCGAACAGGGCTCTCATTGATTTTGTGCAATTTTGGTCGTTAGAGTTTATAAACTAACTCTCGCATCCATTTTCTGAAAGGTCTATTTTCAATCTAAGAATAGTAGAATTTTCATGATTAAATAATGGTGAAAATTTGAATATAAAATGTTTGTCTATCGATAACGCTGTCGTTTTTATGTAATGGTATCTTATTTTCTGCGTTGAATGAACTTTTGTAATCTCTATACAAATTTTAAGTTGCCTACCCAAAATCTTGTGGTGCTCCAAAGCTGTTAAGTCATTGACTTTCTATATTAAAACTGGTGATTATCTCATCTGTTTGATTTGACTTTTCATGATAATATCAATTTTTTTTTTTAAAGAAGAAGAAAATAATATTTGAATGAAGGTCCCATTAATCACACCATTATGTCACAATTGAAAATAAATAAATAATAGGGTTTCCACCAGATTGGAGGGAGGCCATAGGGTTTGGAAGAAAACAGATGTGAATAGAGAAGACTTATTCAGCTTTTAAAGAGTTTATATTTATTCTAATTTTGATCTCTACTGCTACCCCCTTATATTTTATTAGGGTAGGAATAGATTTAAAAATAAGTTAGTTATAATTAGTTAATATGTACATGAAGATGACTTTTCAATTCTTCCAAAATCATAGTTTGTGGCAAACTGAATTTTGAGACCAAGTTGATGAGTAAGAATCAAGAAGATTTTTCTTATGCTAGTATGTATGTGTTCTTTGTACATAATTTCTTAGTGGTATTTTATATTCTATTTGATTCTTAAAATAAATATTCTTGCAGATATTAGGTGTGGGCAAAATCGGTTTTGCTTAAATTTCAAACGATTTTGGTCCCTAGAACCAAGAAGCTATCGATTTTTTTTTAAATTTTTTTTAGTTTTTTTTTTTTTTTTTTTTGGTTTTAATATCTAGAATCAAGAATTGAATTTGCCTTGAAACTCGGGAGAGGTATTCAAAGATGACTTCAACATCTTCGAGACTGAGAAAAAAGTAAATACAATTTCAAATTTGATGACTATCATAAAAAATAAAGTTTGGATCATTGAGAAATGATCAATTTCTTAATATTACGTCATTCAATCTCAAGCTTGGATCCCTTTCTTCGAGGTCAATCAATTTTATTTAGGACTGGACATGGTCCGGTTCGGCCGAAATTTTTGAGTACTTAGTAAGTAGAACCGTTGGGTCCAAATTTAATTAAGGAATCGTTTGGATTCGGTTCCATTCGGTCCGGTTCGGTCCGATTCGGTTCCATATTATAATTAAAATTTTTAATATATATGTTCAATATTAACTCTTTCAAAATAACGTAGTTCAATCTTATGTGTTTCACGTCTCTTTTTGTCGAATTTTTCATAAATTTGATTATTAAAATCACATAAAGAGAAAGATAGCGAGCTCAAAATAATTAAGAGAGATGTTATAGAGCTTTAATTCCATTTTCTCCGATAGAAACGACACTACAGTATAATAATAGATTTGGATAAAATTGAGGTCAATTTGATTAAGTTGATTTTGAACTGAAAATTAGAAATAGAAAAATCATATTTTGTGGTTTGAACTAAATTAATTAGTTAACAAATTTATTTAGAAAAAATAAAAATAATTTTACTTATTTAAAATAAATTAATTAAAAAAATTACGGAGATTCGGTTCTTATTCGATTTTTCGAGTCTTGGCCTAGAACCGAGAACTGAATCATACCCGTCGGTTCTTGATTCAAATACCCGTTCGGGTATTTAACTAAAGAAGAACCGTCGGGATCGGTTCGGTTCGGAAGTTTTGTTCAGCCCTAATTATATTACATTATACATGTTGAAAAAAATCAAAGGTACTTGTAACAGAGAAAATGAATTTCACTACAAAATCACATGTTATCATGTCAGTCACACTGTCTACAGTATTTTTCAAATTCTCAATGCTTTCATAGAGGTTGCATAAACAACCCATCATTCTTCGTTTGCCTTGTAAAAAAAATAGTGTGATGCTATATTATATGGGAAGCGAATTACGATGGCCAGTTAAGTAAAGGTGATAGGCTGACTATTTGCTATGCTAACCTAACTATTGCTATGCTAGTTCGTCTACTGATATGCTAGTCCATCGACCACAAGGCTAGTTCATGTACCGCTATGCAAGTCTGTCTACCACGAGCTAGTTCGTCTACTAATATGCTAGACCGTCTATCACTATACAAGTTCATCTATCGCTATACAAGTTCGTCTACCACTATATTAGCTTGACTAGCACTATTATAGATTGCCCATTATAACTCCCAATTGACTGAACATCCTTTCCATTGTGAAAATCACCTTACAATTATCCCAGGTCACTTTTAACAGCTTCGTTGGTAGGGTTTGACTACTAAGTACATAGGTAAAAATCGTTGAGTAAGTGGACGATTTTCACTGGGCACATTGACGAAAACTACCTGGCAATCACATGGTTCTAAATGCCTATAAATCCTCAAAGGCGTGTCAATAAAAGGGATCTTTTTTTTTTCACAACACATTTTCTGGCTTCCTCTCTTTTTTCTTAAGTGATTATATCCAAAAATCCATCACTAATTCTCAAGGCAGAGGTACAACTGGAGAATCATCTTCTTGTAGGTGTTTTGTTGTTCATTGGAGTAATAGAAGCCACCTTACTCCGGTAAGGAAGTCCAAAGGTTGTTTATTTATTCTTTCATTGGCACTATCTATGGAAAATCTTTTGAACACATAAGCTATGTCAAAAAGGTGAACTAGGAGTCATAGACTTTTGGTCGAAAATACGACGGAGTTGGAGCTTATAGGCTAGGGTCAAAACTTGTTGCCATAGCCTCAATATGTAATACTTAATTAGTTTAGCATCGTAGAGATCCAGTTGGTTTCCATGATGGTTCTTTTGCAAATCCCGACACAAAGAGCAATCGATCTATCCTATAATCCACAGAATTTCCACCAAAAAATACACGTGGAAATTGTCTTAAGTGGCACAAATGCTTGCCACCCAGTTTTTCAGGAAATGGATGCACACTAAAGGTCACATGAAATCGCACATCCCTAAGTTCCACGTCCTATGGTAGACTTGGAATGCAATATGAAAGAAATGATGGCCCAGAAGATTGACAATGCATTGTCAAGAAAAAAAGATAGACGCGGATAGATGGTCTTGGAGGAAAACCCCTTCACTCTAAAGAT